CGATGGATCAAAATATAGGCGAGCTCTTGAGAGACTCATCAACATATAGGCGCCTTGTGAGAAGATTGATCTACCAAACGATTACTAGACCTGACTTAGTTTATCCTGTTCATGTGCTTAGTCAATTTATGGACAAGCCACGAGTCCCACACCTTGAGGCAGCACACGGGGTTCTCAGGTACCTTAAACGAACATCGGGACAAGGCATTCTTCTATCTGCCACAAGCATAATGCAGCTAAGAGCATTTTGTGACGCGGATTGGGCTCGTTGCAAAGATACAAGACGATCGGCAACAGGTTATTGTATACTGCTTGGGCAATCACCTGTTTCTTGGAAGACAAAGAAGCAAACTACAGTAGCACGTTCAACGGCCGAAGCAGAGTATCGTTCCATGGCTACCACCTGTTGTGAAATTACGTGGTTGAAGAATGTTTTGAGAGACTTGAAAATTCAACATGATCAGCCTGTTACGTTGTTTTGTGACAACCAAGCAGCATTACACATCGCTTCGAACCTGGTCTTTCATGAATGTACGAAGCACATTGAGATTGATTGTCCTTTGGTACGAGAAAAAAAATCCATGAAGCCATGATACGAACAACTCATATTCGAACCACAAATCAAACTGCAGATTTGTTCACGAAAGCACTCAAGTCATCACAGTTTGGAGCTTTACTTGCCAAGTTGGGTATCATCAATATACACTCCAACTTGAGGGGGAGTGTTCAAGATAATTCCAAGAAATAAGCTGAGGAATATTGTAAATTGATTGACATTAGTTTCCTTCCTTTTATGTATGTATAGCAGACGTAATTATAGGAGATAGTCTAGGATTCCTATCCTATATAAAGATGTAATACTAGCATTGAGTTGATATAGAGATTTTATTTTTCACCAAATATTCTTCCTATACTTGCTAATGTTAATAATTTCGTAAAATCATTTAGGTCCAAGCGAATATATAACTTAATAATTATTGAAATAAAAGAAATAGAAAATGAAAATTTATAATACATATTAAAGAACTTTTTAAGGTGATATTAGCTCCTCCAAGTAGGACTCTGCAAAACATGGATTATTATGGAGTAGAAATTTTTAGTTTGTACGGTTAGATAGTGAGGGGAAAAGTTAGCCTAATTTCAGATATTTGGAAATTTTTTTGGTTAAGCGCTCTAACAAAAACGATTTAATCAAGAGAGTTTTAACAAAAAGCCCACGGTACTGTTCACTTTAACAAAAAACTACATTTTTACACTAAAAAGTCAATTCTGATACTATTCACTTTACCTTTTATTTTGTCCTTATCATTAAAACTTAAAGTTTCAAGCTTTTTTCATTAGTTTCCCATTGAAGTCATCCTAGTGGCTTGGATGCCAAGAAAAGTATATGGAGTAGAAGTTGATGCAATCTCAGGACAATATATTAGTATTTTTCTTTTTTCATAACAAATGCAGGTATTTGACCGAAGAAAAAAGGAAAAATTATCCATACATTTAGTACAAGATCATAAAAGAATAAAAGAATTTTCTACTTGTTTGATCAAGAAGAGGTAGCACACGCAAGACCATTTGGCACGCAAGTAATGGTGGGCTTCACGTTAGAACATTGAGAGGTAAGAGGCCTTTGTTTCCGCTGTAGATGAGATCGATGTCAGACAATTCCACATTCTAAGCCCTTGCTGCATACAACTTGGATTGCAAGTGGTGTGGCAGATGAGCCCTTAATGTTCTTGAACCATGGGGGCGGACGCTGATGCATAGATTCAAGGCAGCAACAGTTCGAAACCATGGGATCATACAGTAAACAACGGATTAAGGCTCCGATGGCTTGGTGCAACGAGTTCAATTTTTGTGTTTTTTTCTTTTTTTTCAATGACAAAACTTTAATCTGTTAGAAATTTTGAGTAGAAATTTCTTTGTCCCACATTGATCATTCCCAAAAGTTTTCCTCACTTTATAAGGCTTTGTCCCTTATAAAAAGTAGGGGATCCACACACCTCATTTTACTTCTCACACACCTTTTTAATTTTCGGCCATCTGATCGGATGAATTGAAGAAGATTAACGGACAAAAATTATCAAGGGGTGTGTGAGAAGTAAAATGGGGTGTGTGGATAGCACACCCCTAAAAAGTAATTGAAGTGATAGGCTTTGGAGATTGAAATTAGGCTCACCCTTAGGGTTGGGCTTTGGGGTGTACTAATTAATTGGTAATTAATATATAATTATCAAAAGATGCTCTTGGGGTGTAGTAATTAATTAATTATATATTAATTATCAAAAGATGCTCTTTTTCTCTAATAATTAAATTAATTAATTATTATCGGATTTAAGTAATTATTTTTAATTAATTATTTTTTACCAACAGACTCATCTTTTCTCTTTTCAGATGAAGTCTGAAGTGTGAAAAAACGCAGAAAGAAAACACCCCTATGAGAAGATGTCTTCCAACAGATGCATCCCTTTCTCATACCTGTTGCGAACAGGCATAATCATATTATATATACATCTATCTGCATGACATTTAGAACATAGAAAATACAATTCTTCTTGTATAATCCAAAACATCCTTACTAAGAGAACCACATAGAAATTTGCCAGAAGCCAAGTTTTCCGCTACTGGAATTTTGACTTAATCGTTGAATCTTGGTAAAGCAGACGTCCGTAGAACCACAAGCACTGAGTAGGGACGAAATTTCTATTTCAAGGACATTGCGGTACGCAAGTCTCGATCTTCAATATTTCTATTCAATATTATTTCATTGTTCATACACTGTTAATTTCCTATTTGCATTTATTATTTATTAGCATATATGATTTTATCACAGATTGTTGACATATATCCAACATAATCTAGGTATAAAGACAAAACAAACTACAACCGAACTGATATCTGGCGACTGAAAAACAAGTTGATACCATCAAGAACAGATCAACCCCGAAGGACCGAATCTGCTTTGATACCAAGTTGAATATCAGAGTGTGGAACGAACAAAACTACAAAATAATAAGAATATTATTAATAGACAAGAATGCAGGAATGGCTACAAAACCCTAAAATGCTACGTCGTAACTAACTTATTATATCTGAATAACAAAACTCTCTATTTATAATAAACTAACCCTAGTCCCTAATAAGCAAGAAAACGAAAACCTAATTCAAATGGGCTAAGCCCAAATCCAAACAGTAAATAAATAACTATTTTCCTACAGGCACTAGCTGCACTTTGACGAAAGATGGAGGGATGCATGGATTTTGGACATTGATGATACGCTACTTTTGACTATGCCTTGCTACAAGAAACGAAATTTTGGGTAAGACATTGTATGTTTGATTCAAAACTACGAGATCATATACTAATTTTCAGGCGTAGTAATTTTGTAAAGCAATTTCTTTTTGGGTGAGAAGTTGAACCTGACTTCTTTGGAGGAATGGATGGGTTGTGGAAATGCGCCTGCTTTAGAGAACTCGCTCAAACTATTCAATGAGATGAAAGGCAGAGAGCTGCAGATCATTTTGATTTCTTCAGGGAGGGAGCTTCTAAGATCAGCCAGATAACCGTGTTATTGTTGGCCTGGTATTATGGTTGGACAAGCCTTATACTGAGGTCAGTTCTCTCTCTCTCTCTCTCTCTCTCTCTCTCTCTCTCTCTCTCTTTTCAACCCATTGCGTTTTAAGTTTAAACCTCTCCTTTTTTTCTTTTAGTGTAACTTAGAATAATAATATCGTTTGTAATAAAAAATGTTGGCTATTATGGATGGACAAGTTTCTTGAATAGAGACTTCTGTGTCAAGGTACTAGTCTGCTCAAGACATTAATACGTGTCTTCTCAGAGGACGGCGACAAGTTTCTTGGGTAGGGACATCCTGTTGGAATGATTTTTTCCTATATAAAGAAAACCATTGAATTGGTGGAGAAAGAATTCGAAGCGGTGGATGAAACGTTAGTATCTTTTTTTTTTTAGTACATTGATATTTTTACATCAAGAAAATAGAGAGTTCGGTTAAGTCACACAATGGACAACTTAATTTGGTATCGAATTCGCCATCTACGATATTCGATCCTAAGATCTCTCACTTTCAAGTGAAGAAGAATACCACCAGACCGTAGTACTGAATGACAACGTTAGTTAACTTTGAATAATTGCTAATTTGAATTCAAATGGCAGTTATTTATCCCACCACTTGGTGGAGAAGGTTGTGTCTGATAGCAAATTAAGTCTTTGATCAATTTTATGGATTAATCCTATGATTAATATATTGCAACTCTTGATAAAGATTTGTGACCTATTATTAATATTGCAAATTGGTTCAAAGGCTGTATTCTGCAGATTTCGACCAACCCAATTTCTCTCTCTTTGTGCATAATTCAAAGCCTCCTCCATTGTTATACAAAAGCTGTAGACATTAAAAGCTCCAATATTAGTCTCTAGTTAAATCTTGAGTTTTATTATCTATTTCTTTTGAGTGTTTAGTGTTTGTCCTAGGAGTGTGCAAAACTTTGACAAACAACAAGCGTAAGCCCCACTTTAGTATATCCACAATGCTTATTCGCATATCCCTTTGTACACTGAATGTAAGAACAAATAGTGTGAGAGATAGCATATACGAATAGTCTGAAAGCGTATTTATACGTGCCTTGGGTCGCCCCTTTCAGGGATGGACATTTTTTATATAGATGTCTAGCATCTAATTTGTTTTCACTTGTTTTTGTTGTTAGGGGTGTTGAAGAACTGGGAGGAGTGCAAAATTACAAGACTACTGTGACAAAGCAACTGATCGATGATGTTACACCATTTGAGGCTTTGTAGGAGACCAATTCAGCAGCATCAATGGACTTCCCAGCGCCAAATGGACATTCAAACCCCGAAACCCAATAGACTACATATTTTGAAAAATTACGGCATTTCACTTTTAATACCTTGAATTTTATTGCATTTGCATCCAATTCAATTTCTTTTAAGTGAAGAACTATAAATGAAAAGTTGCAATTATGATCATTATTTCATCATTTGTTAAACCGTGAAGGATCATCCCTCAATTATTACAGTTCCAACATCTCAAACGTAAACTAGATACATTACATGCATACATATACATCATTTTGGTACATAGCTTCCATTTTCTTCTACTCCATCTTGGCCCTACCGGCGGCATTCATCTTAGCGCAATAATCGAACAAGCTTCCATCGAAGCAGCGTCTAACGGCTTCTTTCGACAGCAAACCCTCCTCGTCCCTAGCAAGCACATACAATAGCCCCCATTCCAGCTTACTTGTGATCCTGCCAAAATCAGGCTCACGAGTTAGCTAAGTGAAGAACAAAAACTACTTACTCGTATCAATATTATATTTGAAATGTAGCATACTACGGACCAAGAATGCTTACCATCCAAAGAAATCAAGGGCAACTCTGTTCCCCTCGGTCATGGCCCAAAGCTCTCCCAACGTGAACTTGTCAGGCACAGTATGGGCATACTTACTAAACATGTTCTCAATGTTGGCTGGGCTATACCTGGAAAATGATTGCACATAAATTCTAGTGATTTCTTTAGCAGCCAATATTGAAGATGGTTACTTTGTCGCATTTTAACTTATAATTACATACCTTCCTTCTGTGTCATATGCCCCGGAATCGCTACCGTGCTTTGCCTTGTGAATGTTGTAGATGTATATGGGAAAGAAGGGAGAAGGAATCCACCCCTGTGATGAAAATTACAAATTCAAGATATACAATGCAGCTTTAATTAGTCACGCTTTTTCACTTCAAATCGCTTTCTTCTCTACCACATTTACGCTCATTTCTACCACAGTCGCGTAGCACATGATATGGCAGTTAGTAAGTGCTTTTTTACATCATTACAACATCACGTGGTGTTTGGTCTAAAAGTGGAAGCTCTATATTCAACCAACTATCGAGAAATTGTCTTCTTTTTTTTGTGACGGTACCCGAGCACCATATTACAACATCACGTTGTGTTTACTCTTAGACTGGCTGTTAGTAACTAATTAATGGGCTCTTAAATAATTACGGTCCCTTTCTAATGAAAAAGTGTGAAAACAGTATGCAACTTACAGGCAGAGTGGGATAACTCATAGCCCCATTGATAAGAACAGCCATAAAAACGGCGACGATTGGGTTGAAACCTATGGCCCGACATCCTGATTAAAGGGAAAAGAATAAAGCACGCATGAGAAGCGACATTAAATCCACTACAAGGTTGCCTGAGGTTGAATATGTACAATTAATTAAGTAAAGGTACGTTGAAGCCAGCAAGATTTACCGGTAAAAGTTTCCCACGGATAGACGATGCCATTGTCGTCCTGGTCGAAAAACGCAATATGCTGCTGAAGAACACTCATGTTACGGTGCTGATGGCCAACTGTTCCTGTTGGATGGTTTGTGTCTGGAGCAACCAATGCTCTGGGCATATCTGAAGTTGGGGGTGTGTCAAAGATAAAATAAAGAGTGAATTAGTGTCCTGAAAGGCTGTATTAGCATTTTATTTTCTTTCTAACCTACCTGAGCATGTTACAATTTCCAGAAATTAGATAAAAGTTGTGGGGTTTCAATTGGGTACATACTTGTTCAATTTAGCGCAGAAATTCTTAATTAATCCTGTTATATTTTGATGTAATATTATTAATTAAGAAATTCAAAATTTATCTTGTAGAAATTAAAAATCAAAACTATACAAGCAGTGTCTTGCTTTTGAACCCCACAAAATAAATTTGGCCAAGTTGGCAAGAGCAGTGTGCATCGAAGTTTGAATCCCCTCTCAATGATTCTAGTGCAATTACTCTATCGTTCGTCAAATTGAGAGAGAGAGAGAGAGAGAGAGAGAGAGAGAGAGAGAGAGAGAGAGTAACAGAAATGAATTGAAACTGGTCTCACATACATGGTTTAGGAAGTTTGGTTTCCAAGTCACTCCTGACTCTCCTCTCTATAGTCACAGGTGCATATGGAGCTTCTGTTGCCAATGCTTCATTCTCCATCACAGCACTCGCAGCCATAATTGATAAGGTTTTCTGTGATCTTCTCTGACCTCTCTCTCTCTCTTTCTCTCTCTCAATAGCATAAATAAGGGGGTGGTGCAGAAATATAGGAAACTATCTAGGTGATGTATATTTTGGTTATAAAGAGCGGTGGTAGAGAGAGAACTAACATAGGAAAGGAAAATAAGAAAGGAAAGTCGTCCTCCCATACCCCCAGCCAGCTAGTATTACGTTCTGCGTGGCAAGAAATGCAAACACCACCTTATTTTGGGGAGCAAGATGTGGCTCGATGTGAGAAATGCATGCAAATCTTGTATCACGCCCTTCTTACACGTGGCCACACCATGCACGTAACTCTTTCTCTGTGTGTCCGTGTGTGTTGTAATTTGCTCGACTTCAGCTCAGCTACATACACTACCAGAAATTTGGTCTTGCCCGACGAAATTTCAGTCTGAAAATGTGTTTATTTTTTAAGTATACACCTTTCCGACACAAATCATGATTAAGTTGAGATAATCCTATAGTAAATAGAGATATTGCAAAGTAGTGTCCATGGCTTCGATATGAACGTAGCTCAGAACGAATCACCGCAGAGAGCCTTCTTGTTCGAATCACCAAACTGACCCTTAATAAAGAAAGGGAGGAATAGAGGAGGTGGGAAAAAAGTATGGACACCTTCTTCCCATCTTTGCTCATCCATACCTTTTTTTATTATACAATTGATCGGTTTAAATTTAACTAAATTTCAATTAGTTAAATCTTAACAGTTCATTCGTGAAAAAATATCGGTTTAAAAGGTAAGGTGATAAGGTTTTTTTATAGCAATAATATACTTCAAATTCACGAGAATCGAACCTTAAATTTATCGCTTAAAAGTAAAAAAAAATATTACTAGACCGTAGTACTAAATGATAGGTACGCCAATACTGAGACATTTATAATAATAATACAATGACGTATAAAATTTTTCTTCAAACAACATTGTATTTTTTTGGTCGGAGGGTATTGGTTGTCGGCCCATCTAGTTGGTCTCATGCGGGCCTTCCCAACGGGTCCAGCCAGCGCATAAAACCCAAGCCCGTGGATCCTCCAAATATAAAGACCCGATTCCAAAACCGCTGCCTCTCTCAATTCCCCTCCTTCCAATCAACAAAACCCAGACGCTCAAGCGAATCAAAAGGTTTCCACAAGTGACAACAATGGCGACAGAGATTGCAGCAGCGGCGCCGCCACCAGCGGTAGACACAGAGGAGGATATTTCGGCGGCGGTGGCCGCCGATACCAAGATACAGGCAAGCAGCGGTCCCCACAAGCTGGAGAGAAAGTGGACCTTTTGGTTCGATAACCAATCCAAGCCCAAGCAAGGCGCTGCGTGGGGCTCCTCCCTCCGCAAAGCCTACACCTTCGATACCGTCCAGGAGTTCTGGTGGTAAGAATTAGATTACATAACCTAAACCTAAATCCCCATCTCTTCCTCTTTTATTAATTTGGGATTTTTAATTATTGGGTTTGAATATTGGATAATTTAATTTCTTTTAGTTTGTGTTTTTGTATTTGTTAGTTTTGTTGGAGATGTGGGTTTTTGCTGAATTTTGCTTGTTTGTTGATTGGTGCTGTGATTTATAATTAGATTATGTTTGGTTAATGACAACATTTAGTGGAACTTTTCCAAATACAAGTAATGTACCGGAGTCTTTGGTCCCTTTGTTTCCAAAAAAAAAAAAAATGAGCTTTGTATTTAGATTATGTTTGGTTGATGAGAAAATTTAGTGGAGAATTCTGCAAGTCCAGTCCATTAAGTTACTCAACTGCATTTAGTTTCATTGTGGACCTACAAACTCAGATTATATGCAAATTCACTTCATTCAAGTTCTGAAATTTAATCTGATTCGAAATCCCCTATTTGACGTTGAGATGCAATATCTGTTTGCAGTCTGTACGATCAGGTATTCAAGCCAAGCAAGTTGACACCGAATGCAGACTTTCACTTGTTCCGGGCTGGAGTTGAACCGAAATGGGAGGATCCCGAGTGTGCTAGTGGAGGGAAGTGGACTGTCATCAGCAGCAGGAAGGCCAACCTTGATACCATGTGGCTAGAGACTGTGAGATTTTGATTTCCTTATCAGTATTCATGACATTGGTTCACACACACACACACCCCCCCGTATAGGAATGAAGTTTGGCATACTATTGGCAGACATTGAATCAAACATAGGTTTATACTTGATTTCACCTACTTAATGGTTTTGATTGACATTGCAACATAGCATGCCAAACTATGTGGACACTGAATATTACTCTATATATAATTATATATATAGTCACCATATCCTCCTCACCGGTGTGAATGGTTGGTGTTTCTTGCTCGCTGTGGGCTGAAGCGACTGTGTATTGGCCTAAGCACTTTGATTCATGTTGCATTAGGTTTATTGGAAATTTGATAATAATGGGTTCTTGTTTTATTGCGCAGTTGATGGCACTGATAGGGGAGCAATTTGATGAGGCGGATGAGATTTGTGGAGTGGTAGCAAGTGTGCGCCAGAGGCAGGACAAACTTGCACTATGGACTAGGAATGCTGCAAACGAAGCTGCACAGGTGTGATTTGGATGGTTTTGCTATCCTCGTGTTTGTTTGATTTATACTCACTCCTGAATGGATTTTGATCTGCTTTGCTATTAAACAATGATATAGCTAAAGCCCCAATTTATATGCGATATAGATCTCTGCACATCCTAAAAAGAAGCAAAAGCATCCATGAAGACATTGCGACCCAATAATGCTCCATTAATCAACTGAAATATGATTACTAATACAAGATATGTTTGATATATATAACTCGCTTGATCTCTGCCCCATCAGCAATAGTTGGATCCCTATAATTGATTACATTTCCCGTGGTTTTGTTGCAAATTTAAGATGTTGCAAGTGTCTGAATCTTGTTATCTTGTCATGCAGATGAGCATTGGGAGAAAGTGGAAGGAGATAATCGATGTTACCGATAAGATGACCTACAGCTTCCATGTAAGTTTCAGTCGGTATTATTTGTGTTGGAGTACTCTTAATCCTATTTCTCACTTCTTCTGGTATTGCAGGACGATTCCAAAAGGGAAAGATCGGCAAAGCCTCGATACAATGTGTAACTGATTTGGCGCTTGGGTCTTCACTCTCCATTACTAAAGTTGTGAACACCGCGACATTTGTCTACTTATTTTTATTAGTGTAATATGATCTCGTTCCTTATGTTACGATTTCGAAAATTTTCTGAAGTACGCGGATACTAAGTTTTGTTTGTAACATTGAAAATTTCTCTGAGTACGCTTAAAAAGTAAGTTTTGTTTGTAATACACCCATGATTTACTTGAGTTGACAATCAAATGAATCAGATCTGCATGTTTGCTAAGAACTTTCTGCAACCTTATTATCGGTATCGATGTCATGAAAATGGGATCCGAACTTGGATCCAAGGGGTGGACAGGCGATCCTAGTCAACTGACGTAACTTACATATGCGTTTTTCTGTTGATTTAGTGAAGGAACATTGCAACAAGAGTGAGAATGATCATGAAAAGTGCATATATTATGGAGACAAGACATGGAATTCTACATTGTGGTGATGTTTAAGGAATCCCAGCAGGTGGAGACTGGAGAGTATATGTATGTGGAAGTCGTTTAAGAATGAAGTATGAAATCAAACTACAACATCAAATTTCTACTTGTGAAAAAAACGGGAGGCCATCCAAGGTCTACTGATTCTATCACGCCAGGAACCCCAGCCTCTCTCCGTTCTTCTTCGCCAGACGAATCAGTCCTTGCCTTTGTTTCGCGTCTGCTCCTATCGATTTGCAGAACTCGGTAATTACCTGCACGGAAAATAGGGTTTGTCAATAATTCTACAACATCCATATGAGACCACCTTTTTTCTTTGTTTTTAAAATTGTTTTGTACCAACCAATTATGTTTTTAAACATAATTTGTTTTGTACGGAAAATAGGGTTTGTCAATAATTCTACAACTAAAATTGTTTTTAAACAGAAGGCCTCATTTATTCGACAATTTGTTTTGTACCAACCAATTATGTTTTCATCTTAAATAATTGAAAAAGAAGCTGGAAAACTGAAAATTTGATAGTTACTAATTTGTAGCATTTCGAAAGTGATACTTCTCTTATTCGAGCGATATTCTAATTATATTTAAAGTAATCTACGAGAAAGGAGTTCAAATAGAGAAGCACATGAACTAGGCCGAAAATCGAACATCTAACACCAAAATTTTTATATAAATATTCTTAGCTAGACAGAGTCACACAAATGAAAGATTTATATTAATTACCTGCGAGTGCAAAGCAATAGCTTTGCCTCTAATCTGATTGAACCTCTTCTTGCCAACAATGTTACGCGTGACAACAACAAGAGGTGCAAAGACACCTTTGCCTTCATTGACGTTCTTCATCATCGGCTGCGCTCTCACCGCCTTCCCAACTCTCACTTGGTTCGGGACCGCCTTCACCAACGTCCCATAATCTTCTCCGACAACCGAACTCCCCCAACTTCCATGGAACGACGAACTCAAATTTGCAGAAACTGAGGTTGCCATTGAAACAACAGTGCCTCTAGTTTCTCAGACGCTTGTGAGCTTTAATGTTTTTTGCAATGGTCGTTGGTAGGGAGGGTTTTGTTGTGGAATTTTAAGAGCCTTTGGTTTCTTTTAAGGATAGCAAGTTAGGAACCACATATATTTATGGCCTTGGTTTTTTCTGTTCAAGTTTTTTTTTTTTTTTTTTTTCCACGTGTTTTATTTGTACCGCGGCACTGACGGTCCCTATTTGTTGGGAGGACGATCTGAATCTGAATTCCTGGTGGGTTTGGTCCACTTGTCACCTTCCTAGAAGCCACTCTGTCATGCGTGGGATGATCTTAGCCGTTGGTTTTAGAAACCTTTCTAAAATTTTCATACAGGGACATTTTAGAAGGCAAACTTTGAATTATATTGAACGGTGCATAATAACAACGGACTTCATTGGTTTGAACTTTGAACTACACTGTTCAAATTTGTATACGTAGTTTAGGTGTCGGTATGGACAAGCACTCAAGTTCGGATTCTCTTTTTCATAAGGTAGAGTAGGTTAGACTCTGGTATTGACAAAAAGAAGTGACCGTTAGAATTGGAAAAGAAAAACACCTAGCTTCTGGCACATACGAAGTTGTATATCAATGACTGATTGACTTACATGTAAAAAGTGAGACGGTGTTTATTGTGTAATTGTATGTCTACAATTCAACTAATTCCTAGTAGCTACATGTGAAGAGCGTGAATTTTCAACCATTGATGGTTGAAGTCACGAGAAGAAGATTGTGGAAAAGGGTTTTAAATTTGCTTCCCGCGGACGGTGTTTGATGCACACCGTAAGTGTCACTGTTAGAAAAAAGTGGCAAAGCTGTTAGAATTTGGAAGCCACAGACAAAAACAGCATGATTAAACGCTGAGAAAAGTATTTCCACGTCAGTTTTTCGTCTTCAAATTCCACTAATTTAGAAACAAAAGAAAAATCTTTCTTCCCAAGCAAAGAAGAATTTCTAAAACGTATATTGTTATTTCTTTTAGGAATTCTGAAAGGGAAGAAAAAGAAAGTGAAGAAGAAAATCAATCTTACACGAGGGAGAATCTAGAAGATCATACATTTCAAAGAAAGAACACTTCCAGCAAGAGATGAACGCTGAATTTCTGGAACTCGGTAAACCTTGGAAGGTATAACCGATTCCCATGATGCGTTTTTCCAGCTCTTCCTGCACGTTGAAGAACATGTAACGAACATATGTATCTACAAGTAATTAGAATGATAAGCAAAGACAATCAGTTCGCAACCAACAAAACATGATATCTTGGCCATCTCTTTTAGAAGGGCCGTGCAATGTTTCAAGTGATCAGTAGTTCCTTAGGTGAGAACTACACATTCTGTTTCTAGATTGGAGTGCCACTACATAGATGTTTCATTTCGAAATACGAGTGTTAAAAATGATTTGATAGAAAAACGCACGAACAAGGGAAGAAAACCCTAGGGAACATCGTTTCCAAGTACTTTCTGCGTAGAAGTTAAACGGATCAAGATTCAAAGTATCATTACAGACACGAACAAACTGCACCGTAAAGTACTGCTCACCTCCAGTCTTATAGCAGTTGTAGAGTACAAGATGCAGGAATAACAAAAATGAATGACTATTGTTTGAGAAAGCGTAGCAACGTACATATGTTTTTACATACTCGTCATACTGTCACAGTATAATTGCACCCAATCACCGAAGAACGCAAATAACACACGTGCAGCAAAGTTTAAAAAACGAAATGATGACTGAACTCATCTACCTAAAGGCAAAATAATTCTACAACAGATTTAAGTGTAACGGCATAAAGCAGTGATATCCTATGATTGCTAACAACTTAGAGGGAATATATGCCAGTTGATGGGTTTTACTGCTCTTGGCTAAACTGTTTGATGTCTTCTACCTATGGGAAAAAGGTAATTGAACTTTCAAATCTATATATTGGAAGACACAACGATGTAGCAAAAATGTATTCTTGAAAAATTTAATTCGCCAATATTAGCATATATAGCTTCCATGGATTCATTTAGTAAATTTCATCCCAGAAAACATCTTGTTCTATAAAAAGATACAAAATAAATAAGAAAATGAATGTAATACACAAGGAAAACCTCAGTCCAAGAGAGAGAGAGCAAATCTCCTTTCTATAATAATTCAAAGGCTTTTTAGCCAAAATAGTCCATGAGATTGAAAATCAATAGAAATGGTCCCTGAGATTATCCACCATCCATTATTTTGGTCCTTCCGTTAAACTCCGTTAAGTGTCCCGTAGCTCTTAGCCGGAAGTTTGGGCAATTTTCAAAGCTTCGTAACTCAATCGTTTCTTAATCAAATTCGATCCATAATATATCAAAATGAAGATAGGAAGGTGTAGAACAAGATTATACCTATGTAGAAGACCAATGGTTTCCGGAGATAACCGAAAAATAGCCTGAAAGGTGACTGGTCCGCGGGAAAACTGGAAAACTTGCCGGAAACTGGGTAAACTTTAAACGTTCATAACTTCTTCAATACTCAACGAAATCGGGCGATTCAAAAATGAAAATCATACTTCTCAATGATATGAAGAGAATGGTATCTTTTTTGATGGCCAATTATCCATGGTTTGGCCGTAAAATGGATCAAAAGTGTCTAACTCGAGACCAAAATAGCCACTTTCAAGCTGTTTTTAGGCCAAACCACCGCAATTTAGCTGTAAAAAAAGGTACCATTCTCTTCATCTTGTCGAGAAGTACGATTTTCGTATTTCCGCGTACCAGTAACCTTTCAGGCTATTTTCCGGCCATCTCCGGCAACTAGTGGTCTTCCAAAGAGGTATAATCTTGTTCTACACTTTCCTATCTTCATTTTGATATATTATGGATCAAATTTGGTTAAGAAATGATTGAGTTACGAAGTTTTGAAAATTGCCCAAACTTCTGGCCAAGAGCTCCGGGACACTTAACGGAGTTTTTAACGGAATAACCAAAATAATGGATGGTGGACAATCTCAGGGACGAAAGTGATATGTTATGCAAATCTCAGGAACATTTTGGCTAAAAAGCCTAATTCAAATTTGAAAGGGGAAAAATACAGAATGAATATAATATCAATGCATTAGTTTATGTACAAGTATACGTTTCCTTACAAGGTAGCACCAACATTCATATAAATTTCAGCAATGCTTTTCGCCACTGCCACAATAAACTCTAACACTTTGGAGGTCGAGGACTCAATACATACACCTTTATGGGAAAGATGAAACGTCATTGACCACAACAGTCCCCGAAATTAGATCTCCATTAAAAAAAATTTTGTTTGCCTGCATTTCAAGCTGCTATGAACCATGAAAGGGAAGGATTATGGCATCAATGCAAAACTCTTCTTCCAGGATTCCAACTCTATCTTCTCACTTGTGTATATGTTCTATTAAAAGCATTGTCTGGAAGGAGTCTAGACAGCCAATACAGTCAACAGCTTCAATGCAAAGCAGTAGTCTCAGGTACATTGGATGCATGCAATGTCCTTGATCAAAAAGGTTTTCAACATTTAGTTTGTTTATGAGTAGGAAATAGGTGTCCACTCTATAACAAGCCTAGCACAAAAGGTCATCAAGTGATCTGCTGTTATGTGTGAACCATATATACCATATCATTCGATACAGAGTGAGTTATTCAGATGGTATGCCCTTACTACTATCTTCTTTTCAATAGAAATGATGTAGGTGGAAATGGTCATGCATTCCAGATACGGGTATCGGTAATTTAGAAGCTGTACAAATCATCTTTCAACTACCTATCATCACTACTCACCATTTTCGTTCC